AGCATCTCCTGCACATCGCTTCTATAGAATATAGATTCTTTTCACCTATTTGAAGATGATTTAGCATGAAGCTAAATAAACACGGTCCAAACGTAAAATAAAAAAAAAACAAACCAAAAACAGAATACCAAAAAGACAAAGGGTCTGTCAAACACCTACACATTTTTTATGCTGTCTATTTTTCTGACACTGAGCTAGACAACTTCTCAGAATCTTTTGCGTCAGTGTTTGCTAAGCAGTGAATGGCACTTCAGTGTTCATTTCTAGATCAGATTCACTGGCTCAGTTTGGCAAAAGTCTGCCTTCCCTTGCCATATTACAGTGCTGCCAAGCCTCCTGCTAGAATATTCTTCTTCTCCCTTTTGTATTATCAACTTTAAGTTCAGGCTGCGTTTTTTCCTTAATTATTAGTATTTTACCTTTTACAAGGTGGACTATTTTGATAAAAAGACATTGTGTCCTCAGTTTAGGATTTTTTACTTCTTTTTTCAGATAGAGGGGAACTATGTAAAGGCTGGATCATCTTTTCTGTAGAGCCATTCTTACAACTGAGCTTTGCAGCAGAATAAATAGAAAACATAGATTCCTCTGATCAGCTGTGCTGTGAGCTTTACAGATTCCTGCTCATGAAAGCTAGAAGGAATGCTGAACACTGTTGCAAGTGCAGGCTTCAGAGGTTATGCCAAGGAAACCATGTTGCTCACTTAACTCATAAACAGTAGCAGGGCTTTGTAACAGGGAAAATAAAGGGAGTACTTGGTGTAATCATAAGTGCACAGCAGAGACATCCTACACATTACCCGGGTAGGTCAACACAAAAGGTGACACTGAAGTTTGAGACGCACTTCCATATACCTTAAAAACAAAAGGGCAAGAACAGGCCTTTAGAATAGGGCTAATTACAGGTACACTAAGTATGACACAATTAAAAAAACTATAGTCATTATGCAGAAGTGGCAGATGCTATGTGGCCATGGCAGTCCTTGTACAGGACTGCTGTACCTTGGAGGACACTGGAAAGAGTGGTTAAGATTTGCCTTCAGGAAACATGTAAATGGGGCTGCCTGTGGGGACAAGGTGATGAAGCTTCTATTGTACTCAATGGAGTTTAATGCAGGTGTGGAGTGGGCTGAATAGCTACTCAGACTCCACAGCAGGATCAGAATACAGCTCCACCAGCTGTGACAGGAGCTTCAGCACCCAGCACATACAGAGGTATCCAATTTAGATGTCTTAAGACAAAGCTGGTAAGGGATCTGCCCACAAGAGTGACTACACAGGAAAACATTGAGTTTTGCAGGGACATTTGAGCTAGTTCCAGAGTAGTGGGGTGGTAGCTGCACTAAGGTAACATCCTGTACAAATGAACACATTTGGCTTTTTAGCAGGAGTAATAAATCCCTATCAAACACTGCTGTGCTATAGCGTCTGTACAGGTCTCCTGTACAGCAGCCAGCTTTTGTTAAGAGACAGTAAAGATTTACCTTTTCCCCCTTTAGAAGAAGCTGCTATTAGGGAAGCAACATTCACTCATCTCACAGCTGCCTCAGACTGGGAACACTAACCAATTACCATTAATCATTTTAATCAACTTGCATACAATCCACAAAACATTGGAAAACACTATTGTCATATTAGCTTAGTTGTTAAGCCACCACAGTGGGCAAGGAATTACTAGGGAAGAGCAACAGTGAAGACTGCACAATTAATGATTATACCCTTGCTGCAAGTTTGAGATTCATTTCATTAATATACAGAGCTTTTGAAAGAAACTATGCTTAATACATGGCTGTGTGTCAGCTCACGGGGTGCTTTCCTGCTAACATCAATGATTTCCCTACTTATCAGGCATTTTTTCTGTCTTTCAGTATCATGTGATGTGGCAGTTAAACAGCCCTAACTGGATTATTTTTGCAATTAAGATGTGAGGCAATATATTAAAGGCTACACTAAATACAAATATAGGATATTAAAACTGACCAGTTTGTTCATGATGCTATAAAAAATAGTTTAGTATTGACAAGTTTTATTCAATAGGACTTCCTAGCTAGGAAATGTAATAAAAAGTCTATAAATCAAGAAAATTTTTTCTGTTCAAAAAAGATTCACCATGATGATAGTGAACAGTCTGCTGTATAAAACATCCCCTGCAATCTGTGAAACTGATTACTTACTTATACAGATTGGGATAGTTGGATACTTATCCAATCTAGGATAGACTGTTCTGTTGTTCTTTTCACCCTTTTTATCCCCTTCAACACAGAAAGAGATGAAAATATAAGGAGGACAATCCAAAAATAATCTCGTGCTGTGCCATCCTGATTTTTTGAGGAGTGAGAATTTTTAGTCTACTCCTCTTACTCAAGTTCTAGGAAAAAAACCTATCTTGTTTCCTGTTAATTGCCACATGTAAAATAAAGTACCTGGTTATCACGGCATACTGAATGGTGCCTGTATTTACTTACGCTGTTTTACGTAATCCTGGAAAGCTTCATGAATGATTAAGGGGGTCACTTGCAATAAATGCAGCTTCAGAAGACTTACACATTGATCAATACATGAGATAAGTTGTTTGAGATTGTTTTTTTACCCTCAGACCCTGCAGAACAGATGAGGACAGACCATTTATCCACTCAGATTGTTTTGGTTTTTGCCACACAGTGCTCCTACCAACTTCCACTGCGTTTATGAGCCACTACTGAAAGTTATTCTTTGCCACTATCCAGAAATTTATTATTAAAACATGTATGAGTAGCAAACAAAACAGAAGGTGTAACCAGCATAACAAGCTTATCTATTGCATTGCAAAGACAACCCTAGATCTGCCATCATGTCAGTAGGGTGGGCAACTTATTACTACTTAAACCTGTCAAGAAGGCTTTTGGGTACGGTTCTGCATAAGCTTGAATAAGAAACAACACACCCTGTACAACTGACATGTGTTGTGTTTCAGCATTCAGAGGGATGGCATACCAAACAGCAGGACAAAAATTAAAATTGGTTTGACAATTTAAAGGATTAATTACATGATTTGGTCTGTTTTTCTTTTTCCTCTCTCCTAAGAACCTATTTCCCATGGTAAAAGCAATTATTTTCAAGTTTTGGCTTTTACAAGACAACAATTTAATAAAAAAAAACCCTCAGTCATTAAGAATGTTTAATACCTAAGTGGAGAACCTACATGTTTCCTCATCTTCCAACTCCATGGATTTTGTTTCTATTTATATATTACTGAACAACAATCAGAAGCTGCAGGAGTTTCCTCCATAGGATCAAGTATATCAACTAAAAGATGCCAACTACCATGGAATCTCAAAATGCCTTGTGCTAGCACTGTTCTGGGACTGCCATCCAGCAGCACTTATGAGTAATCAGCAGTGTTTGCCACAACAGCCATTGGTGCAAATCAGACAGCACTTGTTTGTTTGTCATGAAACCACATGGACTGTCTGCATCAGGGAGCTTAGGTCAACACAGATGCTTAGAACCAGAAACCCAAATTATCCATCTACATCAGATAATCTCATTACAAACATGCTTCCAGTGTGAGGAAGAACAGAGCAGCCTAAGCCTTCTTCAGAATATTTATCAGAAAGTTACCAGAAGCATTTCAGTCCAGAATTGTTTCAAGCAGAGAGACCCAAGTTTAAGAGACTAACTTCAAACAGCTTCTCACATTGAGGCTACACTCCTGTGTTTGAAAGGTCTGCTATATGCAAAACTCTGCCCTACATCTAGGACATGAGTGGAAAGGGAAAATACTTTATTAAGTTCTGTGCACACCAAGTCATGCACATAGATTGCATGTGAACATTGGAGCACGAGTCTTAAGAGGAGCAGCTGAGGGAGCAGGGGTTGATTAGTCTGGAGAGGAGGCTCAGTGGAGGGATCTTACTGCTCTTTACAACTACCTGAAAGGAGATTGTAAACATGTGAGAGTCAGACTTTCCTCCCAGGTACCAAGTGACAGGATAAGAGGAAATTGGTTCAAGTTTTGGCAGGGAAGGTTTAGATTGTTATGAAAAATATTATGAAAAATTCATTATTCTAATGATTTAGTGGTGGACCTGGCAACAGTAGGTTAACAGTTTGACTCAATGACCTTAAAGGTGTTTTCCAACCTTAGTGATTCTACAGCAAACTGAGAACACAGAAATTATCACAGCAGTAGTTGTAAAATATTGTCCAAAGAAAATACAATGCACATACCACACCAGGGAAGATTTACAGAGTATTAAGTTGAAAGCACAGACTAACAGGAGATCTCCCATTCCTTTCTTACCTAGTATCACTGTTAAACAATTCTGTTGATATTCATCAACAACAGTCTTAAAGATTAAGGTGAACTTGAGGTCTCGTGTTGACTACCAAGATTCAGCCACTCTCCTTGGTTGAGCCATGTATGTGCATCTGTGAAATCCTTATTTGGAAAAGTAATCACACCATCCTCCTTACATACACCGTAACTGTACTTTCTGCAATGCAACAACTCTGGTAGACAACGTAAACAACATGTCTGCAACCTGTGGCAGAAGAGCTGTTTCTATTTAGTTCATGCTCCGTTCATTCTTACGGCAGTTTAATCCACAAACGTGTTTTAGATTGTGTATGAAATGCCGTGTTGCTCTATACACAGTACAGTATGCAGCTCTATGATCTCAAATTATGCTGCTTCATCAGCAGCAGTGCACCTAAAGGTACTCCTGAGGTGCTGGGCACTGAGACATGCAGTGATACTGATGGAAGGATTTGAGTTCTGCTGCCTGGGGGAGGTAGCACCAGTATGCCTGATATGTAGGTGTTCAAGTCTCACAGTGGTATTTAAGAGCTCAGAAGTTCAACTCTCAGTCTGTTTCCATTTATACTTCACTTTGTTTGGCCATCTGCTCTATTCATAACAGGGACAAAACAAAGAAACAAAGTCTTGAAATATAAGCAGTTCATAAGCTCAGTCCTAGCAGAACAGAAATCACATTCTACATCAATTCAACACACATGGATTTTTGCATAATTGATCATTTTATTGGAATCTGTTAAAAGATGTTTGTTCAGACCACCTGGTCAGCAGGCAGTTATGCTGCTTCTGTTCACTGCATATGTACTGAGCAAGCCTCCAAGCAATACATAAATATTCTTTTGTCTGACCCTATATATATATATATGCATCTTTACTACAAAAAGCAGCTTTTCCTCAATAAAAGTTGTATCCATGGGACAATGTGCATTTGTTTTAGCTGTGACTTGTACCAAACCCATACTAACAATCATAGGGTAAGTACATCAATACATGTAATAGAGCTTTAACAGTAAAAAAGTAAGAAAGTTAAATACTGCAACAGCTGAGATTACATACTGCATTTGAATGCTAGAACAAAAATCTATTGACCTAGTTAATGACACAGTCACCAAAACACAAGATATAGAAGCAATGTCAACAGCCAGTAATTGTCTAAGTATTTTAGAGTTCCTCTTTTCCCTTCAAATAAAGAAGGGTTGTGCATATCTTGAATGTGAACTTAGATATCATTAATGTTACAGCAATACTGATGCTGATACTTAAGGTCAGGTAAAGAAACAGCCATACTAAAGCTGCAGGCCACTGAGTACACATAGCATTTGCGAGTTTGAGGAGCCAATGTTTACTATAGGACAGGTTTGTTGTTCAAAATAAGTGTATTCTATGCAAGAGTAGCATTAATTGGCAAGATTTATATGTAGTGAAAATGCCACTTTAGAAACCTAGCATATTTTGGTTAATTGAGGAAAGTGTTGATTTAACTAGCAATGATGAAGGCTAGGGAGGTATTTTAACTGAAACACCTTGCTAAGTGAAATAAGATGACCAATCACTGTTCTCTGCAACACAGGAATCAAGTTGCATGTGTTCTCTCAGTCATCAAGTATTTCAGTCAGCATTTGAGTTTTTAACCTAAGGCCAGGTTAAAATAAATCTGCATACAATGCAACATGCCTAAATTAGATACAAGGATGATCAATTAGCTGTCAGTCTCTACTTTCTATAACTACAAGCCCAACAACTTCAGGTACGGAAGTATAGCCAATCTTTTAAGTTCAAATTAAACCATTACAAGACAGAGAGACCCATTCCAGAGGTTGCTCTGTGATAGCATTCTGGACTGTAAGAACATGCATAAAGCAGCTGTCTAGAAACACACAACTAAAAGAAGCTGCTAGAAACAGCCACTGAACATACACGTGCATGCCAGTTTCCCCGATTAAAATGCTATTTACAAGCCATACTTCAATTTTTTATAATTTGTAGTTTTTAACGCAACTTACAAATATGAGTTCAAGTGAGGGACTTCTGATATGTGACCATTTGAAACAGCCAAAATTAAAATGAGTGCAAATTACAAAGCCACAAAGAGGTTAGCAATGATTTCCTGATCTTTTCAAGTGAAAATTTATTTACTAGACAAGCAACAAGAGGTGGAGTCCATGAAGGACATAACCTTTAGGAAAGCAAACATAGCCTTAACCAACAACACTGACTTTCTGGAAAGTCTGAAAGAGTGCCAACTGAAGTCCTCCACAAAGTTATCTGGTATCTTGCTGCATGTTGTAATGTATTATTGCCCTACAGGTTGACCAGAAACCCACAGCCAAGTATTAATGCACAAGAAATTTAGAAGTTACCGTGCATAAGATTCTGATTAAGCTGTAACAATCTCAGGTATTGATTATGGCTTAGACCTGCACTGAAAGTCAACACTTAGACAAATATCCTTATGTGAATGACATTGTCCATATGAAAGTGAGACAACTTTGTTACACTGAAGACTTACTTGGTTAAAGTGACCTTCTACTTCAGAGAAACAACAGACAATATATTCACACATAACTATACCAAGAATTAGCCCTGTAAAAAAATTCAGCAACGTTTTTACTTATCTCTTCTTAAAGTATAGATATTTTCAGCTATTTTATAAACAGGCTTTGTTTCTTGAATAGCCAGATCTTTGATAGTTAATTCTTCATCCTACTTCCCTCCCTCACCCAAATCTGCCAAACTCAAGACATTGTTCTAGCAGTATTCATGAAATCAACAGTGCAAAGCTGTTACAAAAGCCTGTTTTCCCAAACTGTAACATCCTCTTCAAGTTTTGTTATAGGTCAATAGCACTTCCCATGTATTTAGAGCTCTGGAGAAAGGCAGGAACAATGGATATGCTGAATCTAGCAAACAAACAATTTGTTTGCCAAAGGCTTTTTTGGGTTTTATTGTTGGGTGGATGTTTTTAATTTGCTGCTCATACTGGCCATTGTTACAACTTTGGTGATTAGTTCACTACATTAAATTCACAGTTCCTCATTTTGACATGCACCTATAACATGTGAATTGAACTGCACCACAATAATTGTAATGTCATCCCTATACATTCGAGCCAGCTCTTCTGGAAGACTAAGCATCTTGGACAGTCGCTCATGATCCACGGTTCCAAACTCATTGTTACCCACTGCATGTCGTATCAGGTGAGTCGCTGCATTCTGATCTTCAAATACTGAAGAGATTCTTGCTCTCCTTTCTGTTAAGAGACCATGCATCTGTCCCAAAGTTACCTTATAGCCCCCAACAGCTATTGGCTGTTGGTGGTGAACACCAGTGAGGTACTCCCCTACAATTCTAGCCACATCTTGCCTGTGCATTGTCTCCCACAGCCCATCTGTAGCCAAAACCAGGAACTTATCCTGCGGCCGTAATCTGTGATGTATGACTTCTGGTTCAGCTGTGAGGTATGGGGGAGTGTGATAGTTTGGAGGAATGAACTTTGTATATTCATTGTCATTCAACTGATCTGGGCCTGATTCTATTACTCTCTTCTGCAGTTCAATACTCCATTTAAACTTGACATCACCAAAAGCTCTGAAAGGCATCAGAAGACCCAAGAGACGATCTTGTTTCACAAGACTTTTCTCTTCAGATTTTGGATGCTCCATTTTCACACGTTCCACTTCATGTTCATTTTGTGCATTGTGGTCATAGGACAAATTAACTGCAGACCAAGATCCATCTTCTTCCTGAACCCCAAGCATTGCTCTACTATCACCTGTGTTTGCAATGTGCAAGTCAACACCATCCACATGGGCCACACAGGCCGTTGCACCAGAAAATGCAACTCGCAGTACTAGATAGTTGAGAAAAGAGTTTGGATCTCCTACTTGAGCTTCCAAAGAAATATCATTATCAAGCCTCTTAAAAGCACTAATTAAAGCTTCTCTTACATCAGTAGTCTCTCCACTGTTGAGATCAATCAGCTCCTGCCAGTAAGTTCTTAAACTGTTGAAATAGAGCTTGGAAGCTTCTTTGCTAAAATAATCATTGGGATGCTTGTGCCACTGTAAAATGGGCAACAAAGCTCTGCCACTTTCCACAGCATTTTCTATTTCAAGTAAAGTCTCATGAGGTAACAAAGAGACAGCAATGTAGTAAAACAGTCTTTCACTTACAGCTTGAGCACAAGCACAGCCTGCGTGGCCATCAAACACACCCAGAAGCATCCCTCTTGTCTGTAAACATGTGGCAGCACTCCTCCGGTCCTCTATAGGAGCATTAGCAGGCAATTGGTTGCTATCAAAGCCAAGAACAGAACTCACATTTTTACCATCAAATTCTGGGACTTTGAAACTGTATTCATTTGCCTTCAGGATGCTGTTGACCTGTGGAGGAGTGAGGTAAAACCTCTGTGGTGCAGAAGCGTGATCCCTTGTGTGAATGAAGTGATTAAAGTTCTCCTTTGGCCTATAAAGTGCTGCAAATTTCTTCTGCGGTGCATATCTGAAGTGACTGTGAGCAAAATGAGATGACAAACAGCACAGATGTCTATGGTGGCAGTAACACGCAGTGCTGCCTATTCTGCTAATCTCACAGTTACGAATCAATGGGAACAGATGAGCTGGTGCTGGCATGGCATCAGACAACAATGGCAGCCTGGAGCTTCGGACTGGAATTGCTGAAAGACAAGAGAACAACTATGCTTACAGGGACAGCCAACAGATTCCCCCCCATCCCGAATTCTGTGTTAAGATGTTAACAGCCCCTAACCAAGTTCCTTATTATATGGGGTTCATAGCTTCAGAGGACTTGACAAAGAAAGGCATTAAGAGGTGTTTGTTCATAGACACTACATTGGGCTCCAACAAAAAAGCTATACCACGCTTCAGTTCAGAATAGATATTTTAGCTCTTATAACCACTCAGATAGCAGGGAGGAAGTGAAAACATCACCCAGACAGACAAGAAATCTTCAAAGAACTTAGGACAACAGTTACCATGGAGCACTGCCACCTTCTACAGGGCTTTCATAGGTATTTGCTTTCCTGGTGATTTTGCAGATGTCAGAGCCAGATGTGGCACATAGGGAGGAAAACTCTGTCTTTCCATAAGCTAAAGAAGAGAAAGCATCTAACAGTAAGACTCAAGAACAACTTCAAGATTATATACAAGTGGGCTTAAGATGAAGATGGTTTAGATGACAGAAGAAAGCAGTAGGTCATAAAGAGCACATATTCTTTATGTAACCACATCTTACTAACAGCTCACCTACTCCAGTAAGTTTTAGGATTATAAAACACTTTAAGAAGCTATTCAGTTGAAGAACTACATCCAAACTGTGTTTGCTTCCATGACTAAAACAGAACCCTGCTCAATAGGCTAATGCTAGTTCAGTGTTAAGATAAACTATTAAGTTCAGTATATAAAAAAAAATTCTACTACTTGCCATATTTAAAAGGTTTCCTTATTTTTCATTCCCCTGAAGAAACATCATTCTAACATACTCTTCCCTGTCCCCATCTACATACCAAATCACAACATTAGTGTGAGTATCTCTCAAAAATCTTATTCACCATGCCTCATTATCAGGAAGTCTTTCACAGTGTCATACTTGAGGAAACAATTCCAGAGTGGAAATAGAATTGAACTGCGCCTTGTGCAAGGCACACGCAGTTAAGGGAATTCAGTTTCCTCTAACTTTTATGATCAAGTTCCATCATAAAAGCTTCTTCTCAGAAAAGACCATTAGAAGGCTTACTGCAGTCATCAGTACTAATCTATCAGCACCATTCTATCTCAGATTTAATTGTTGTACTGAAAAAATGGATATTGCTGTGTTATGCAAGTCATTAAATTGTTTCTTTTTTTAGCCAAGCACTACAGTATTTGACAAGACAACTGCTACAAAATATGCAGCAAGCCCCAATACTCAATCTAAAGGATCGTGCAATACAGGCGGAACTGCATTCTGTAAACACTCTAATCCCTGAGCTTTCCATAGCTTCGGCCATAGGATTCTGATCATCCAGACCAGCTGAGAAGTGTCTAGCAATATATGAAACTTCACCCCATTCACTCTGTTTCAAGAGAGGGAAGCAAGTCACATTCTTCCCTTCAAGCTTGCTTGTTCTCCTTATGTAACCTGGAGCGGAGTCCATTTCTCTGTTGCAAGATACATAACTGCCAAAAGCAAAGTAGAATTCATGTTGCTATTATTGGTTTCCCAGCCTTAATGAGTGACCGTCACTCTTGACAAAAAATCTTGTCCACTGACCTCTCCAAGTCTCCCACTGAGAGCTGTGAAGATTGAACTGAGCAGTTTTCTGTTGTGCAGCTACCAGGAAGAGCTTTGGTTGTAGTCCAGATGCTCAGCAGCAGCATATTGGCTCAAACTTCCAGATGAATACTAAATTTATGTTACCCATTTGCTTCTCAAAGTCTGTTTCTCCAGTCCAGGCTTCACATGCACACAGCATGACAGCAGAAGACTGCAACTCGAAATATTCACTGCCTTCTAATTATAAGGGATCTATTTTGGTAACAGTATGTATATTTCTTCAGGTGACATTTAAAAGCAACAATTTTGCTTACAGAATGGTAACCTCAAGGTTCTATGGATGTGTCTGGCCTACAGCAGCACGTTGGATTCAGCATTGCTCTCCCATTACGTTCCAGCTGAATCAAGTTCTCCTGACTGCTCAGCATTTGTGTTCAGTGCTGACCCTCAGTGGTACCACAACTGTTCTGACAGTTTTGTTGTTGGTCCATGATGAAGCAAAAATACCAATGTACCACTGTTGTAATGGCTCTGCAGTGCCACTGGAGGATATTTTGCTGACTTTTAATCATTAGATCATTAAACATTACATGAAATCCAAGAGGAAGTAGTAGAAAGTTGGCCTCAGATAATCCATGGCCTGTATCATTTACACTAGATCTACGTCAGCTGAAGAGATCAGTCTGTTTCACATACCAGATTTAATAAATCCTATGAAGTTGATGAAGTAAATGCAAAATTTCAAGTTTCTCAACCTGAACTGCAATTCTCAGTCTCTCCCATTTGTCCCCACAATATAACCAGACACTTCATATCTAGCTTTTAAACAATTACTTTAAGACCCCAAATTCATTATGGTTGATCAAAAGGTGGCAGAGAAGGAAAAGATGTGAAGTACAAATTTTACAGTTCAATCAAAATTTGTCAAGAGATTAGAACTGATGCAGTGTAAACACCTCTCCAAGCCCAGAACAGGGTACAAATGTTACTTTTCAAGCTGCAAACACAGAACAGTCAGTAATGAGTCAAGTGGTCAATTCTTGGGTTTTCTACTACTACAGTGAAAAAACCCAAAAAAATACCACTTCGTTTAATAAAGGGATGTTCTAGTTGTACTAGTAAGGCAAACTGACACAGCACAGACAGGTTCCTCCATAACACTGTGCCAAAGACATCCATGGCTTCAGGTAATAACACTTCCCCGGGGTACCTTTCCTACACCTACACTAGACCTGAACGAACCTGTTGTAGAGGACGGAGATGGGGAGGAGGAACAAGAAGCACTGAACCCAAGCGGCATCGTTAATGCTCCCCCCCCAGGCCTCAGCCCTCGGACACGGCCCAGCCCGGCAGACCCTTCCCCGGGTCCCATCCGACCCCGAGCCCGTCGCTGCACGCAGGGAGATACATACCGATCCGCCTGGGCCCAGGACACACACACATTCTCCTGTCACAACATGAAGCCGCCAACATCCACAAAGCAGAAGCCCGGGGGGCGGGGGGAGAAGCAAGGCAGAGAGTTTGTTAGAGAAGGCGGAGAGCTCCGGCACGGAGGTAGGACGGCAGACAGGAGGAGACACGCACACACAGCCCTTCTGCGGGCGCCCGGCGCCGCCGCCCGCCCGGCGATGGGACCGAGCCAGCTCCGCAGCGACCGCCCGCACCGAGCCCCGCCGGCCCCGCTGTCCCTTCCGGCAGGGCGAGGGGCCGGGCCCGCCCGGCGCCGCCGCGGGGACAGCGCTGCCCGCTCAGGCGCTGCGCGGCCCCGACATGGCCGCCCCTCCCCAGCCGCCCGCCCGCCTCCGGCACGACGACCACCTCCTCCTCCTCCCGTCCCGGGCACAGACCTGGCCCCTCCCCGGGCGGCACAAGGAGGCGGCTGGAAGGACCAGGCGACACAGGGACAGACGGGTGGAAGGCCCGCGACACCCCGCGCGCGCTCCCAGCCCCTCTCACTCCCCGGCAGCCGCCGCCTCACGCCCGCGGCTGCCGCGCCGCGCCTTATAAAGCGCCCTGCGGCGCGCGGCGCGCCGCCCATTGGCTGCCGAGGAGGGCAAGGTGATCACGTGACGCGGAGGTTGCGGGAGCGCGCGTGGGGGGCAGGAGGCGGAGGGCGGGGGGGCGCTGCGTGCGCGCGCACCGCGCAGGGGCGAGAAGGCGCGCACGCGGCGGCGGCGCGAGGCGTGTCCGCCCCTCCCCCACCCCACCCCCGCTGAGCGTGAGGGGAGGGCGAGGCCGGCGGGAAATGTGCGGCGTTTTCTGCCTTCAAATCCTCGTGAAGTGCCTTGTAACAGTCACAAAGCACGTTAACTACGCAAGAGACCACCGTGAAGCCTGTCCCCTAAACCGGGGAACTCTGCCCTGAGAAAGCCTCCCACGCTGGTCAGGAACTAGAGTCACACAACTTCTGTCTGTTAGAATGAATATGGGAAAATGTCTAAAAATCGTCTGTAAGACGTATTGACATTTACTCTGAATTAATTTTAAAGAGTGAGAAATTTGGGCTGGGGGTTTTTTTCCACTTGAAATATTCACGAGGTGAACCATCACAAAACACGTTAAGTCTTCAAGAGACGACTGAAGTCTGTACTGCAACATGTGACTTTTCTGTTTGTTGGGTTTTGTTTGTTTGTTTGTTTTTCATTTCCCCCGTGGCGTTTTGTCTTCACCAGAATCCCTCCAGGCAAAGCTGCCATGGAGTGCCAACCTCCAGGGACCTCCGTGCTGAGAAAGCCACCTTGGCTGCTGCCGCTGCCAGCAAGGAATGGTTTGAGGGCAGTGGTTACCAAGCCCTTCCCCAGGAGAGCAGCACCTCCCATTCCTACCAGTGCGGCAGGAGCAGCAGCCTCCCTTACTGCCTGTCTCTCCACGCTGTTAGTTACGGTCTTGTCCTCACTGACATCTCTAGGGCAACGCTAAATTTTGCACGTGCTTCTGAGATACTCTGATCCAGCCTCACTCTTCCTGTAAATTTCTGAATATGGAAAGTATATAAATTCAACAGTCGATGATCTCTTTCTCTGTTGATAGATGCCTGTGCTCTCATGCCTTTCTATTTTCAGGGTGGCCGGGATGCCCACTTTGCTGTGTGTTGTTGGCAGCAGATGTTCAGCGAGCCTCAGGGTGTTACAATTAGCATTCCCTTAGGAGCTCTAACAAAACAGATTTTGAGTATACTTGCATCTTTACCCAGCTGGTAGGGTGGTACAGCTGTATACCAAAACCAGTAGAGGAAACAAAAGAAAATCTGCACTTAGTGAGTTGTACTTGAGATGTAAGAGTGTGGAAAGTATTGCCCTGTAACCCTCTGCGTGAAAACCAGCTAGAAAGACAAAATGATGCCATCCTTAAAAGTGCAAGTCTTCCCCAGGAGTAGCTGAAAAGAGAGTATTATAATGTTAATTCATTGATGTTCTGGGTGATGTTTGGGACATTTGTTTATCAAGAATGTTACACCACCATCTTCTCTTTGAGGTTTATTTTAAAATTTAAACAAAAAAAAGGCATTTGAAAGACACCATTGTATATTAAAGACTTCATTAAACTGCATGGAAGATGAATAACTTGCATTCCTTTGTAATGCCAGCACATGGTTAGAAATAGATTGGCAGAATATGCTGAAACAACAATCATTTACATAATTTTCTACTTGCAGCCAGAGTGACTGTAAAGCCCCCAAGTTTAGAAATGTTCTTATAGACTACGTACAGTGGTACAGTTAAGGCATCACCTTACCCTGTCAGAAGGTAGAAGGCTGTGGGAAGACCGACCTCTGCCTGGGTGAATTTGAGTGATAGTTTTATGAGTAGATATACAGAAATGGATTGGGATGAAGTTGCCACTCATCACCTTGTATTCCTGACTGTAAGTACAATAAGTACAGAGTTTGTAGAGTGGATTCATGTGTGAATTCTGCATAGATTGTTGGTCTCTAGAATGGCCTACTGAGAAAAAAAAATCTCAAAATAGTTAGCATTTAGTACTTTTGGTCTTTGGAACATCTTGTGCCCATTTGTTTGATTCTCCATAGTTTGCTGTGAAATCAGAAGTGTAGAGTTATAGGTCTCTGTTTATTTATTTATTTATTTATTTATCCCTTTGTCTTTCTGATTTCCTGATAAGGCCAGGAGAAGAGCTACTTTTAGAGCTTGTGTTGGAAGTTTTGGCTCGTTCTCTTATATGTGGTATCCTGTTGATACCACATATCTCTGAAGAATAGACAAAATCTGAATTTTAAAATACTGAATGAGAAGAGAATTTGGCCTTAGCAACCACATATAAATCCTACAAATGAAAGACAAAATACTAAAACTTAGCTGATATTTTGCTCCTCAAGCTGATGCGAGTCTGCTAGCCTTCCAGAAACTGGATGTTGCAATTTAACTGGAAAATTAAGTTTTCTTTCTCTCCATCTTGCTGCTGCCAAAACCTCTTTGTGCATTTTGAGCAACAATCCATTTTTGCTGATTCTAAAGAATAAAAATTATTGTAATGAATAAAAACCTCTTGTTCCACATTTTACATCAGAGACTGACGGAGAAGCAATCACTTGTAACTGCTTTGCAGTATGCAAAGTCTCCGTGTTTGCCTGGATGAAAGGATTATCAACTGAGTGTGACAAAAGACATCAGTTCTTGTCCACTGTGCCTGTTGCTGGCAGTGGGTAATTCTCCACTGCAGAATCGATAGGCAGCTATGCACTTTAGCTGCAGTGCTTACCCTGACACACATTTCCAGAGAAACTCCATTACAGAGCATCAGAACCCATTTTCATTGGAGATCAAGAGTTTGTAATAACCTTCTAGTTTAAATAAGTTCTTATGCCTAGCATATGAATATTTTATTGATTACATTTTATTGATTAATTTTACTGAAAGCTAGCCAGGAGCACAGGGTAATACTTTACTTGTTTTTATATCCACTGACTCCTTAACATTCTTACGATATCTTTGCACACAATGTTTCAGGAATGCTGTTTTGTTCCTGCGCTTGTTGGAAGGAGCAGTTGCTCCTAAAACCTGTCTCAAAGCTGAGTGCACAGATCAAACACTTCCACTTGGCATGCTGCCATAACAACCTCAAGCAGGAAAAAAAGGCAGAGGAGTCATACAAGTTTTGAAAGCGTAAAAAAGAAAAGCCTAGGAAGGGGGGAAATAAGGGAGAAAAACATACCGTGTACTGGATAAACAGGAAGAATAGGACAAGACTAAACTGTCTTCTTTCCTCTCCTGAGAGCATTACAGAAGCAATTAAAGCAATCCAAGTCTCTGTGCAGTTGCACAGAGCAGTAATTTGTTTTAGTGGAAATCAGGAGCATTATGTGGCAAAAACGAATGTGTCAGTAGAGTTCAGAGCAGTTGGAGTACCTGCAAACAGCGGTGGCCTGTGGTCTTCAGTTTGCTTCAAAGGAAGAGTTTGGTTGTATGTTCAAGTGTTCTGCTGCCCTCTCGGGGAGTGTTTGCTGCGAGTGGGACATTTGTCCTCCCTCAACACAGCTGGGTTCCCGAGTACAGTGAATGTTTCTGAAATTTTACGTTGAGCCCTGCAAAAGGTGATTTTTAAAAAACATTTTTTAAGAGTATCAACTTTAGAATAAACCAGTGGTACAAAATTGATGTCTCCCACTGCCCTTTCTAAAGGCAAGTCCAATGGGGAATCACAGACAATTGCTTTCAGTGGGTATTTTGCTATCACTGTGAGACTCAGGCATAGTTTAATTTATTTTATCTCCCCTGGAGGCCCTTTGTATCTTCACTCTCAGTTGCTTTCTGAAATGAAGCGATGGTTCTGAGTCATTCAACCATTCAAATCCACCTTCCTCATAGAGTAATTGAGGTCAAACAGGACCTGCTCAAAGCAAGGCCACCTTCAAAGCTAGGTGAGGTTGTTCAGGGAGTTGGCCAGTCCTGTTTTGGATGTCTCTGAGGACTGAGGTGCTCCAGTCTGCCTCGGCCCCAGTTCCAGGGGTTCACCACTTTCATTGTGAAGATTTTTAATTTGTAGTTAATCATAATTTTCCTTGTTCAGCTTTTATCTGTTGCCTCTTGCCCCTCATGACTTCTTTGCTCCATACTATATGTTGATCCCTACCTCTTTAGCAGAGAACTAAATGCATTTTTTGCATTTGGTAGTAGCTGTGCACTAGTTTGTGCCCTTCACCTGAGTTGGTCTTTCAGGGTCTGTATCCAGTTTGGGGAATACAGCATTCTGACAACTTGGTGAAGTAAAGGAAATTCTGTCATAAAATGCTGTTGGAAAATAATTTTTTAGCCAGCTTCAAGAATTATACTTATGACATTATCAGTGTCTGTGCTCTGAGGAAGCAGCTTCAGGATATCAGGAGGTTGAATCCAGGAATTATCTTGGCTCTGAAGGGTCTGATCCA